ATTGGCACGGACACATGGACATGCCCAAAAGCTGGTATGAATATTAAATGAATCATTATAATATATAACGATTACCATGTATAATCTCTGGCAAATAAAACAAATGTTTAATGATCAATTTCTTCAATGTCGACTCACATAAAGTGCAATTTGTTAGGTCTTTGAAATTTCAATACAAGATTAGATGAAATTTTAAAAGAAATTGCATTGGAAAGAATAAAATCCGTATTGCTATGTATAGAAATAAATTACTTTAAAGTTGATGAGCTTTTAAGTTAATTAGAAGCTATGTATTTAGAGAAAGTTGAATGTACTAAAAAAAAAAAATATTATCCACTAATATATATCGATTTCCCACCCCCTATTCTTTCCACACGTCCCGTTTTATCCACATGATCAAGACCTAAGAGTTCATCTGTTAATCCATAATTTGATAGAATAACATCTATTGAACGTATGCAAGGTCAATTATCAGCAATTTAAAATTTTCAAGAATGAAAATCGAAAAATAAATATACATACTATTATCCTTTATATACTGAGGCTTGGCATATGATGACGTTTGTATAATTGCAAATTTTACTTTCGAGAAATCTTTTTCGTTCATTCCTAAGCGTAATTGAAGGCGCAACTTTGTTGCAGAGAAGGGCTCATCCTAAATTACATAAAATATAAAGATCATAACAAACATAAATACAACTAAACACATGAAATAACATTTAAAAATACTGACAGCTTTAATAACAAATTTAAATGGAATTCCATGCACGTGTAACGGCTCCTTAGTAAAATGAAATGCTTGAATAATCTTATCATTAATACCTAGTTCAATTTCATCTTGTGGTATTTCCTAAATTTAAACTAAGTTAATTTTTCAAAAATAGGAATAATCCAAAAATTACAAAAAAGTAAAAGAGCAAACCTCTGCATATAACATAACATGTTCTTGTATTTTATCTATTGGATCATTATTATTATACTCATTCTGAATTTTGCATTGTAAGACTTCATATAATCTAATTGTATGAGTAGGTTTTTGCAATGCTAGGTTTTGTATAATTACTCTAAGAACATCATTAATTATAGCAGTCTTTGGGAGACAAACATCAATTACTTCCTTTAAAGAGGAAAATGATAATAATGATTAATGAATTGAATTATAAGTAAATAAATCTAAATATTAAAAATATTAATAATTTTCTTTTACCTCTTTCTTAACAGTTGTCCCAAGCCAATATACTTTAAAGAACTTTTTAATTATTAATTCAATAATACTAATGTCAAGCATTTCATAATATAATATATTCGTTGAATTCTGCAGATATGTTATTTGAAGCAGCTCTGACAGTGTTTTCTTGGTCGTACATTGAATTACAGTTTTGTATGTACCGGATATTGGATCTGCCGTTGTAAACCGTAATTTCAAAGGATCCATGTTTAAGAAAGCAGCAACGCGTTTAGCGATCTATATAATATATAAAGAAGACTTATTAACTAAATAAATTCATATGGGCATTAATGGCACAATAGTATTTTCGGGAATTTCTATTTGAAATTTCGAATTTGAGTCAAAATCCTGACAAACAAAATACCAACAAAAATTGACATAAACTACATCTATCTAAAGATGACATAATAGGGGTAACTTGTCAAGATTTTGATCACCTTCAGAAGCTTCAATACAATATCACCTCAAACGTACATCATCATATTTGTATCTCTTATTTAAAATTAATTCAAATTTAGGTTTTGATTCATGATATTTTGGCTTAAATTGAATAATAATATGCATAGATAATGACTCATAGAATGTAGGAATATCATAAATACGGCCTGCAGCAATGTGTTCTTGTTTCCTAAGTTGAGGCAGAGAAGTTCTCTTATAAAAAATTCATTAAAAATGAGATAAGATCAGGTTAATAAATAACTTACTCTTTTTCGGTTAAATCTTTTTGGAAACAAATTATATCACCATCTTGTATCTCAGCTTTTTTAAAAGTCCATCTGGGTTTCAACTTATCAATCATGGTTGGTTTTATTTCCTATATTTTAATAAAATAAATAAATCATTACTATCAACAAAACGATTATGTATGTATAGTATATTTTACTTCGTAAATTTTCAAGGGGGTGTTTGGTAAAAAGTTTTTTTTCTTGCAAAGAATTGGAATAATATCACCAACTTTACCAAATTTTCTAACATATAAATGACACACTCCTCTGTTTACATAGGTATAAGAGATTAATTCTCATATTAAATGAATTAATAAAATAAGGTTAAAAATCACATACTCTAGAGATTGTGTATCAGGATTAAAGTACTTAATGAAAACTAATATATAAGAATTCCTTTCTTTTGGCGGGAACCATGTCTACTTATCAATTAAATAACCATTAAAATAGTAAGAAAATACATGTCCAATAATGTATACAAATAGATTGTTAAATACTAAGTACTACTTTGCCATTAATTGATTTATCTGCCACTTCCAAAAACAATTTTAGGTCATTATGTCTTGGAACCATTTTTTTGCGAATTTCTTCCATCTCTATTTATCATAAATTAATAAAAAGTTTATTATAAAATGAAAAGAGCGACATTTTACATATGACTTACCCATATCAAGATAATTATTTGGTATTGGAACATCTGGCCTAATAGTTTTATTTTGGCGATTTACAAGAACCCAGAATCTTATTTTTTCGGGTGAAAGCCCAAATTTGTGAGCGACAATAGCTTTAAAAGCACGATATGTATCGCTTTTTAAAACCATAATTTGTGGAAATTCAGATAGCGGGTATTGTTGGTCGTCAAAATTAGCAAGATCACGCAAGTGGTAGTGCTGAAAGGTGGTTAGAGTCACGATCTGATAATGAATCGAGAGTAAAACGTAAATTGCTATGAATAATCCACATTTATTATTATTAATTTTTCATAATGTCAAATAATTACCTTTGTAGACAAATATAAATGACGCTCTTCAGCTTCTTTTTTTTTCTGTTCATATAAAGTCATCTCTTTATCTATTCGTCTTTCTATTAAAAGCATGTGTTTGAAAGATAAATTCACAGCGCAATTGTAACTTATATAATTTTATAAATAAATACACTTACGCAAATGTTCTGGCATATCTTTAGCAAGTACAGGAGATAGCACGGAGTCGATATCAGATTCACGGATATACACCAATATATAAGCATTCGTAAATTTTTCAACATTTCTCCCAATTGAATTAGGAACTTCACCCCCATAATTATCGTCAAGGACTTCTTTATCCGTCACAGGTGTAACTCTAAAATCATCAAATTTGAACCTTTTATTGATATTTAATATTAGTTATTTGACATATTATTATAATCTAAATATTAATTTATTGTTAAAATTCAGACCATCTGCCATTCTTTTCTGGTTTTAATAAGACATAATAATTGCCTCCATGTAAACCGCCACTGTGAACAATTACTCTAATATGATAAAAAGTTATTAATATGTTTTAAAAATCATGTCATTGAAATACTGAATCCACATTTACAAACCCATGAAGTAAATAATTATGCGGTTTTGATTTATCGCTATCTGATGATAAATAGCTTTGTAAATCAATTTCCATAGGATATTCATGACGATCATTTATCTTTAGTGTACAGTATTTATTAGTATAATTTATTATATAATTTTTCAATCAACAAATTACTGGATTAAAGGCTAGAGGTCACAATAGATACCTTAACCGTTGTATCTTTTTTCATGTCATATTCAAACCGTTTTAATTGTATTCGTAATACGGGAGGAAAACTTTCAAACACTACTCCTTTCTTTGCATCCTATAGATAAATAGAGTCAAACCCTTTTCATTTAATGTACATTGTAACCAAAATATAACTTACTTGCAAACCATAGGTTTCAGTTTGGTATTTATTATTTCCTTCACAAGATTCTTCACGAATATATTCTAGGAAAGAATCATTTAAAGTTTTGCATCCTTTTACTTCAAGTTGAATATCTATTATGATAAATTCAAATGTTAATTTAACCCAATTTTAAAATTTATAGTTATATGTATTACATATTTTCACTAGTACCATAATAATTTTCAATACGTGAGTTTTCATAATTTACGTTGACACACCTAGTATAACTCTTCATTTTTCCCACAAAGAGTTCAGAAATAGCACCATTTACACATGTATCCTTAAACCCAGATATAAGTGTTAGCCAATATATGAAGAAAAATTTTAATGAATTGAAGTATGGTTTAATTCAATAAATAATAAGCCTACTTTCATTTTATCTTCTAAATTATCAAGCAACACATTATCAAACTCCTGTACATCATGCGGCATATAACAATCTGATGAATCCCATCCAAATGATTTTGTTAATTCAGTTGTTTCAACTAATGTATTAGATATTTGTAATTTATAAAAAATCCTTTGCATAGCCAAAGGAATGCTTTTATTTGGATCGTCATCTTCTGTTGGGATTTGATATATTGCCTATAATCAAAAAATGGATGGCATTAGATTTGATGTAAAACAATTTATTTTCAGATCAAATAGAAAATGCTAACCTTACGAAAGTGTTTTATACTATATAATAATTGCAACTCGACATTTAAATAACTTGTTGCGCCTTGGTTTTTTAGGCTAACATATCCAGTCACTTTTTTTGAATCGTAACTATATAAAAAGTTTACATGAAAAAATAAATGTAAAGTCATAAATTAATTTTAAAAGATTAAAAGATGATAGAATACTTTTTAAAGTTATGCCATAAGACACCAGTTGGGTCCTTTATAATGCGAACAAAGGCTGTAATATTACAGGCGTCGTTTCCTATTAATGGATGAGGACGATTATCTGATTGGACAAATAGTTTATTTTGTTCGTAAAATTGTGTAAATCCCCAATCATCTTCTTCAGCAGTGAACCGATGATGCGTATCTATAATTAAAATTATTATAAGATATTAGTAGTACGGATTATCAAATGCAAATAAATTAACACGTACAATGAACAACGCAGAATGTTGGGTCTTCTGGATTCCATAATGCCAAAGCAAATTGCGCACAGCAATGCCAATCGGTAGGGGCTTCATCTTTATCAGCAAAATCCAGATAAATTGAAACAACTTCTGAGTTTTTGTTTCCACAAGGAAAAAGTAAAATGCGCCTATAATTTAAATATAATATAATTAGTGCATGAAATTATATTCAAGTTATGTATTTTAAGTGAACCTACCATTTCCAACCTCCAGCTTCAAATTCAGGACCTGTTGTTCTCTTTTCTAAACTTGCCCAATTTGTGATTTGCCACGTATAATCTTGATAATCCTCAATTTCATAGTGATAGCCAAGATGTGGCATATTATTTGCAATGGCTTGGTCTGCAATTTATCAAATATAACAATAAAACGTTAACATCGTAATGTAATTATAGTTAAAAGATTTTTTCAAGATTTATGATGAACTAATTATACTGATTATAATACTATAAAACATACAATCTTTAATCATGTTAGTTATTTTAAGAAAATTTGTATATAAAGTTAAATGAGAGACAATTGTGAACTTTAGATATGTTAAAAAGTAATTACTATATTTTGATTTACAACTTAGTCAATCTTTAAAATAAATTACTATAATGGTTACACCACATTACAATTTTGGAAATTTCATTGAAGGGCATTTCAGTGCATATGTGCATTTCTGTGGTTCGTAACACGAATTCTATGAGAATCCTAAATGGTAATTTATTGTTGTCTAAGTTTATGACGTATAGGCAATGATAATTAATTATTAAATATTGTTAATGTTAAAAATTCTAAACATCTCCTTATGTTTATTCTTCTCTTTTTAAATGTCGAATTTTTTGCCATACATATAATTTAGTATCCATTTATCGTTAAAAACCACAATGATAGTGGAATTAATAACAACTATACGAGTGGCGCCAAGGGAAATCAGACTTTGGGCTTTCTATTTATCGAAATTGTTAAATGCCAATTAAATTTATTTATAGTGCGGATGGATGTGTATGTATATAAGCTAGTTATACACACATATCTATGATACCGCAGAAAATGGCACACTTTGATTGTATAAAACATAAAAATCATAACAAGCATGAATACAAGTAATCACATGAAATGACGTTTAATACCTTTAATAACAAATTTAAATGAAATTCCATTCGCACGTAAAATGAAATACTCGAATAACTTTATTATAAACACCGAATTTAATTTCATCTTGTGGTATTTCCTAAATATGAATTGTGTTATTTTCCAAAAATAAAGATAATAGGTGTTTCAGAATTAACTTATTTCGAAATTAAGTGCGAGTTTAAAAGATCCTGATTCTATTATAAAGTTCGAATCAAGAAATTAAATAGGTGCACCCGGGAATAAAACTAACATTTTTTTGACTATTAAACAATTATGTAAATAAGTTTATACTTTAAAAAAAAATATAGGATTTATGGATCACGTATTTTGACGTAAATACGTCACTTATTTTATCTTAAATCGGATTAATACTGAAACCTTTCAATGCGTATAATAAATATCCATATTTCTCAAGAAAATAATAAACGTATGACGTTATGCATACTAATATTCGCATCCGGAAAATGTGTACCAGGTTGATGCCGCAGACAAAATTCTTAAAATTCGTTAAGTTTAGGGTTAGGGTCAGGGTTAAGAACTAGAGGGGAGTAGTTTTAATAGTAAAATTGTCCAACGAAAACTTTTTGTTAGAGCACAAAAGGTGGTTTCTTATACTAATTTTTGAGTTATGAGCGATTTTTGGCAGAACGAACGTTTGTTTTGAATCTTCTTGATTGTGTTACGTTACACCTAATCTTGAAAGCTGATTCGTAGATCAGAAGAATACGTCACCAACCTGGTACACATTTTCCGGATGCCTAATATTCGCCCATCTTTCTACGTATCAGTATTGGTTGCATTGACCCTTGATCGAACAAATCACCAACGCCACTTATTACATGTATTAAATTGACCAATACTACCGAACTGGTTTAAAATCTCCTTATTTGGGAGAGCATTTGAAGCGAAGCAACTAAAATTGGTAGAATTGCTCAGAGGTTGAGGATTGGGCAAGTATTATAGGTAAAAATACTCGGTTAATGTGTACTACCTCCTGAACTACGAATCAGATTTCAAGATTAGGTGTAACGGCACTCGCTTAATTGTTCAAGGTTTGTGGAACTACAAATCAAATTCAAGATTAGGTATAACGTAACACGATCAGAGAAGTGCATTACTTGAATGTGTGCTAGGTTTATGGCGCAGAAAAAATTCTTTAATGCTATTTATTTAGAGTTAGGGTTACGGGTTAGAAGAAGGTAATTTATATTTGGTAAAATTGTCCAACGGAAACTTTTTATTAGAGCACCAAAAGTGTATAATTTCGATTTTGATAAAACGGAAGTTTGTTTTGAATTTTCTTGATCGTGTTACGATCTTGAAATCTGATTCGTAGTTCAGTAAATCTGCGCCACAAACCTAGTACACATTCAAGGGGTGCCAGAGAAGTGCTAGAGAAGTAGTAGGTTAGTGATGTCCAGACCAAAATCAGTTACGTACGTACGTAGTCGCTTTTTTTAAATTTCAATCTGCACACAAGAACAACAGAATCGCAAAATCACGAGATTTTTTTAATAATTGAAGGTTTTTTTTATATATTTATTCAACTTATTAGAATGCATTTAATTATTGTCGCGGCTGATGCTGGAAATTTTAATTATTTTAATATGAAATTTTTAAAAAATTTTAGGGCCTTTTGTTAGGGGTTTTTTTTTAGGGTTAGGTTAGGGTTTAGGGTTAGTTTTAATAATAAAAGAGTATAAGTGGATTTTGGTAGGACGTATTTTTTTAAATCAGCTTATCTGATTTCCAGCTTCAGCCATTTCCAGCTTCAGCCGCGACAATTATTGTTACAAATTCTAAGTCAAATTACATTCAATTCGAATGTATAAAATGCATTTATATCCAAATTCAAATTCTATTTAATAAGTGTTTTTGTTATGTTCATTCCAGGTTTTTGAAAGCTTTTTGCTCGCTCTAAATCTTTAATGTCATCTACCGTTTTTTTGAATAGATTTAAAGTTCGACTCAATACTCGAAACCTGTTTTTTGTTCGGGAAAATTATTAGACTTTTCAAGACAATCAAGCGCATAAAAATAAAATTAATAAATATATTTATTTAAACACGGAAATATAATGATAAAAAAAAATTTTTTTATACCTCATGTGGAATTTTTCTGTACTTAACATTTCAGATTCGGATTCATTATCTTCAGTACTCTATTCCTCATTATTTATATTTGCTTTTCTGAATTTACCAGATCGATCGTTAAATTGACTTATGTGTAATCAATTAAGGCGACGTTTGAATATTTTTCCCATAAGCTTCTTTAGCTTCCGTAACAAAAGGATATTGAATTTCGTTGTAACTAAATTAATTTAATGTAAGATTTAGAAATTTTTAAACCATAATATAATGATAAAACTTTTGGAAAATGATGCACGTAATAAGAATTTATTTTTAAAAAATAAGAACAAGAATATGTACAATCGATGATCGTTTAAATACTTATACACATTTTAATCAACGTGTAGTCGATTTTATTACACTCAGTTGAATTCTTTACGCCACAATGGCAATAATCGTTCATCAGGAGTAATTGAAACCGATGCAACTGTACTGATAATAATTTTTCGGTAAGGATATGACAAATAAGATCAATACGTGACTGGTTGAATTTATACAAGTCAGAGCCAGTGGATTTTAGTAGTAACAAAATAGAATAACACTATCAATATCTGACCGAAATTGTTTTATTTTAATTCTATAGATATATAGAATTAAATCAACCAATTTTGGTCAGACTTAATTATGTGGTCGTCGCGATATCGCTCATGATATTTTTGCTACTACTAAAATTCACTTGCTCTGGTATAAGTAATCCTTTTAGAATACATACATATTACTTTATCCTTAAACATCCATAAGTTTTTCATAGTATTCAAGCTCTTCGGATTTATAGCATTCTCTTTTTGCTTGCGAATATCATCTAAAATTCGGTCCTCATATTTCCGTTTTTTGCTTTTATTTACACGGCTTGTACATTCAATACATGATTTATTATTAATTTGAAATGCAATATTTGGTTTCGTAATTCGGCAAGATGAATAAAGTTTTGTAACATTACAATATTCAAAGGAATAAAGAATTTTAAACGTAAAGTGTTATTATTCTTTAATATATTATTATTTATCAATGCCGTCATTATTGAATTATTCGTCAATTTTAATGTCGGCAAATAAATTTAAGCTCTGTGTATATGTAACTGATTTTGGTGGCTATACTAGGTGGATCATGTAACCCGAGTGCCCTAATTTCCCCCACCACTTCTGATTGGCTGTACTAATTATTCATTTATCGAAACCAATCAAATTTCACGATCAGGTGTAACGTAAAAGAAACGTAAAAAAATGCAAAAATTAAAAATCGCCCATAACTCTAAATCCAATATATGAAACTGTCTTCTACGCACTAATAAAAATTTCCTTGTAAAATTTTGGTATAAGAAATGTCTTTTAATTATAATATCATGCCAAAATATTAATTCTAGATTACTAATATAAATACTCCAATAATTGAATAATTAGTACAGCCAATCAGAAATGGTTGGGGAAATTAGTAAATCCATGTCCGGAATTCAATCCGATGATTCAGATTCGGACCTCGGATCAGACCTGCAAAGCATTAATACAAGCCTAATACGATCCGAGCAACTTAGTACATCGATTAGCGGATTTTATTACTAATACCCTGACCGTATGTGAATAAGCGGAAACGAAGTTTCCGCTAATTCCCAACGGATCAGGATTATTACAAATTCGCCAAAATTGGTGATTTTCGGGCATAATTAATTAAGTCAGGAAGCTTGTTATACGAAATGGAAATTTTTTTGGACATCACTAACTTACTAATCAGAAAGATTCAAAACAAACGTTCATTTTGTAAAAAAATCGCTTATTTCATATAAGAAACTACTTTTAATGCTTTAACAAAAAAAAGTTTCCTTTTTCTAAACTTCTAACCCCAACCCTGACCTGACCCTAGCCCTAACATAAATGAACTTTAAAGAATTTTGTTTGCATCACAAACCTGGTACGCATTATTCAAGTGTTAGGTAAAATTGCTCTCTCGACATTTTTTTATTAATGCCCACGGCATGGCGAAATTTTTTTAGTATTTTTACCAGTGTTTCAATGTCTAAATGTATTTTTGTTGTCGATAATGATGACTCATTTGACTTATTTGTATTGATTTAGAG